GAGGGAGGGGACTCTTCACCTTGCTCTGATGATGCTCTGGAGGGCTAACTAGTGAAGGCTCTATTATTTCTCCTAAGTCTGTATTTGTTCTGCTGAGCTGGCTGACCCTAACAATATTAGTTTTTGCCAAGGATATCATCAAGGATTTTTCCATGCATAGTGCTTTAGTCATACCTTCTTATTCGTTAGTGAAAAACAGAAAGCATTTCTTCTGAAGAGCCATCACCTAGAAATGGAGAAATGTGGTCTTACCCATGTCATTACTAACACTTCTAATCACTACTGAAATAGGTATAATGTGTGTAGGTCCTTGACGGAAGATTCTACGAAATCCTCATTTCTTTATTCAAGTAAAAAAAAAAATTAAAAAAAGCTGACGTGGTGGTTGGATCTCTGCTGTACAACTGGTAAGGCTTTGACCATCCTGTTCCTTAGTCAACACAATAATTGAAAAACTATAACTTTAGTCCATGATTTTTGATAACTTTGCATTTTGGAGATATTTTGTAAAGTTTTAAACCTTTTCAAGCAAGCACTGATACAATCTTGATATATCCAGACCTACATATTTTGGTAAATTGACAACTTGGGATGAGTTGCTCAGAATGAACAGCAGGAAGCAAATGTGTTGTAGATTAGTGATTCATCTACCTTTTCAAGAGGCTACAGAAGCTGCTAACACTTTTTTGGGTAGTTAAGGCACTGTGGTTAACCCCTTCCCCCTACCCCAGGACATGGGGGGCCTCCACAAAAGGAGGGGAAATTTCAACTTTATCTCAGTTAAAAAAAGTGCGTTTCCCCCGGTTGTAACCTAGCCCTCCAAGTTACCCCCCATATTTGCTACTGGTTCTAGCCAAACTCAATCTATGTTCCAAAAGGACACCAAGTTTCTCTATAGTCTGAACTGGCTGTGAATGGACTGTGCCTACAGAGCCAGCCAAAAGTGACAAAGCTTTTTAGTTTGGTTTGGGGCTTTTTAGGTCATTTCTGGGGGGAAAAGGGGGATACAATGATATTTGCTTCAAAACTGCTCAGAAACCATAATATTTTTTTCAGGTAAATAAGCTTTCAAAAAAGGGGGAAAATCTTGAAAGCCATGAAAACTCCCTGACAAAAATTAGTTTGGAACCTTTTCATAACCCCTTTTATTAAAAGGGAAATCTACAGTCTACTGTCTGGACAGTCTTCGAGTCAAAGAACACAGAAGCATTCTTCCTCAAGGCTCTACTTCCGACAAGGCAAAGAACTGCTAAATTTCCAGTTGTTAGATGAAGACTGACAAGGAGCGGGTAGAAACCATAACCTCATAAGACATCTCATGTTACTAGGACAAGGCCTTTAAATAGACTAGCCAGTCAATTTCAACATGTGCAAAAATGTAGCTTGTTTGAACAACTTTGATCATTATTACTTATAAGAATACAATTTCTACAATTTATTTATACAAGTTATACAAATTCCATTTTCAAAAAACAGCTGAGTATAAATTAGGTACAAAAGGGGTACCATGTGTATAAATTCAACTAATTATATGGACAAGTGTCCAAAGACTGCAATTACAATTTATACAATGTTTAAGTATAAACACTAGACTGGTTAAGGCCTCATTGAAACGTAGCTGTTTTAAAAGCCCATCTCCTAATTTGCAAATGGCCATCGATAAACTATTACTGCATAAGTACCAGAAATTAATGGGATGGTGCTACAGAAGACCAATCTATAATATGCAACATGTATCATTTCAAAATTACATTCTATGTGGTCTGTAGGTCATGAATTCACTTGGTCATTAGTGAAATTGATATCTCATTCTTTCAGACAAATGACTGTTAAATTCTGTATTCAAATCCACAACACAGAATAATGAGGTGAAGAGGGTATAAGGTGCAGATTTTAAAATTAAAGTACTATGCATGCTTTGTTTTTCAACCTCACTATCTTGTTTTTACTAAAAATACTAAAAGTGATTAGTGCACTTACATGAATGACAGATGAACCTTCTAAGGTTAATACTATCCAGGAGGCACTTGTGGTTTAATCAGTAATCGTATTCTTGAGGAGGGGTTAAAGGGGCAACAAAGGTGACGAACCAAAATTGCTTTGACAGATAAAAATCTTACAATCACAGTTACTAGTAGTTTTAATTTAGTTTTCTTCCAGTATATAAAAGTAAATATTACAACAGCAAAATGACAAACTGTAAAAACATGGAAGATAGTGTTTAAAAAATGGTAACTGGATGCTTTGAACTAAATTAGTACAATCTATATTTTTTTTAAAATGCTAAAGCTTTTTTTTT